CTCCAGTAGAAAGGGAAGAAAGTTGTCCCAGGAATGTGTATATACAGCAGCAGCACTATGCTGAGGGCACAGAAGTTTAATGAAATCAAGAAAAAAGAGATTATAGACAATTAGGAAATCTCAGAATACATTTATTTATGCTCCTGTGGGGAGATGGAAGGGGGGAAGGGAGTGGTACTGCAAAGATATAGGAAACTAATATGAAATATTGGGATTGCATAACATGATTAAAGACTAGCAAGCGCAGTATAAGTCACAGAGCACTGGTTTAGTACAATATTGTGGGCACCTTAGGAAGCAACTCTATGCTGGTATAGCTAAGCAGAAGTGTACAAGTGCTGGTTCATTCACTTTCTGCCCAGAATTCTTTGCTACTTTTGAGGAAAAGTCTTAATCATGTTTAAGAGGAACTCAGTTGCTATTCTGCAGAAGAAAAGTGTAAAAAATGCCAGAAGACACTTTATTTGCATGCATTGGATTGATCTCAAAATTATTTAAGTGATGCTACCTTTCCTTCTTTTTGAACTGCATTCTTTTACTGTATACTTTGCTGAGCACTGTTCATAACCAAGCAATGCAATGAACTTTCCCTCATTTCAGTCTAGCATCAAGTGTTCAACTGCCCTTGGAGGAAATTTCCCGCAGGAATAACCAGAAAGTAGAAACTAGACACCAATGAATAAACACTTCCTGGGATTCTGCAAAAACAGCATTATTCCAAGCTCTTTCTTGCTTGTTACCTATTCCAAACATGCACTCCTCCCAAACCTCTTGCACCTCTTACCCTCTGGTGCTTTCTACATCTTAATGGACTGTAAGTGGAAAAGTGACAGAAGCATACTTTGTGATTCCATAGGTAAAGCTAAGTTTAAGTTCTAATGAACAAGTTAATTTTCACAATATTTACAATATTGGAGAAAGTAATTTATTTATATCTTCTGATTCTCTCAGCACTGTTCTTGACCTGGTCTGGAAGCTGCCCCTAAGCTCTTTCAGTATTTATATTTGCCAAGTGTATAATAGTGACTTTTTAATGCACTTACAGAATAACTAGTCAATACATACACATTGAGAAGAGGAACACACTTTTATGCAAGTTTATCTTATTCCTAGTTCTTGAAATCTACTGAACAAATAATACATAAAATACAATGTCTGAAATGTACATCTTATCTCTATATGTGTCAACAAATAATTTACAAGTCAGATCTGTTGTACAACTCTGGATTAAAACACAATCCTTTAACTTTTGCTGTTGTTATTTCAGGAAGACATATGTGCTCAAAAGTACATAAACAGTAATGAAAATTGAAAAGCAACAATAAAATAGGATTGTTATTTATGCCTTGATTTTGCAATTATGTTTTGATGCTAAATATAATTAAAAAAAGCTTTAGTCATTCAACTGTGTTTATACATGCAGTACCTAGAGCTATAACAAACTGTAGTGCACCATCCAAGGAAATACACCTCCCACACCTGAAACCTCAAGACATGACAGTTTGTGATACTATAATGACAATATGATTAAGTTTATTGTCACGTGTACATGCAACTTTGTACAGTTAAGTTGGTTAGTTTTCACACTAAATGTTCAATTTCTTGTAATTTTTTTAATCTTTACAGACTTCCTTTATTTTGCTTTTATGTTTGTTTTAAACCTTCTCAGATGTATAGCTCTGCTCCTGGGAGCCAAACATAGCAAGGGAAGAAAACTATGAAATGCCAAAACAAGCCCAGTGCCAAAATATAAAGCAAGCAAGAAACCATAGCTGGTTATATATATATTTAAACTTTGGCCAGTGTTCTTTTTATACTTCATAAAAGAAGTTGAGAGCAAAGAAGAAAAGGAGCATTTCTTTTCATTTTCTGGAAACACTGGGGAAGAGATACAGGACAGGAAAGAAAGAAAGAAATGGTCAGGGCAAGGGAAAAATCTTTGTGTGAGGATGCGAAGAAGGCAGGCTGGTGCCCTCACCAGTCTTTTATATAGCAGGGCATCCTCTAACTGGTAAGAGTAATTTTTGTAGACTAATAACCTGACTGTATCTCCTGCCCCCTGACCTGGATGAAAAGAGACAGGTCCTGGGAAAAAAAAAAAAAAAAAAAAGTGCGTGAAGAAGAAGCGGGGAGGAAGAAGTAGGGTACTATTGGAAAATACTGGCTGGACTGCTCCATCACACTGCCTGGTTCACAGACGTTCACTTCTATTCCTCTCTTAATTTATCTCTTGTGGCTCTTCCTTCTACTGCTGAAGCAGTAAATAAGTAAGAGTTTGTGTGTGATTGTTAGCTGTGAACATTTTGGGGGCCAGTGAAGTGAGGACACAGCCGAGGCAGTGGGTTGTGGCCTGGCAATACTGAGCAGGTTTTGCTTCAGCTGGAGCCAGAGCAAAGCTGCTCTCAGCCCCAGCCGCCGCTCCCTGCCACTGCTGCGTTTGTTAATAAGGAGACATGCGAGGAGAGCTAAAAAGGGAAAAGCAAGCGTCTTGAGGGAACTCTCAGCAACAGCAGCACAGTCTCCTCCAGCGCATTTTTTTGTCTGTTAAAGGAAAAGGGAGAGAGAGAGCTGCCATCCTGTTAGCCACAGAGCTGCTTCAAGGCCGCAGATGAGTCCGGTCGAGGGGCTCGACCCTAAACAGTTCCAGCCCTGCGGGCAGCTGCGGGCTGTGGTGCAGCCGAGGGCGGCTGCAGCCCTGGGTCAGCCTGGCCGGAGCACACTGCCCCGCGCCACGGTACCAGCGCCTGCGGGCTGCTCTCGGGAGCGGACCCAGCGGTGAATGGCCCCCTCCGAAAACACTGAATTCCCACCTCGGCCGGTAACTTTGTGATGGGAAGCATCAGCCCTGCTGCTGGAAGGACGGAAGGAGGAGGGAGAAGCCGTGCAGCTGGGCAGAGGCCTGGAAACAGAAGCAGTAATGGATGGGACCCGTGGTACCTGTCCTCTCCCCCGCTGCACATGTGAACCGCTCTCCGGAGGAAGCCGGAGCAGCGCTGCCCAGACATGACTGGGCGCAAAGTGACTGCGCCCGCGGCGCTCGGCACGGGAGCACCCCGAGCTGCACACAGCGGAGCAGGAGCGGACCGGGGAACCCCCCCGCCCGCCACGCTGCACCGGCAGCAGCCGTGCCCTGGAGCTGGCGTGACAACAGGGGATGCCCCTGCCTGCCTTGTCTGCCTGCCGGGATACTCCGCGCACCCACGCTTTGCCGAAGCTGCGGGAAGGGCACCCCCGCACACACGAGGGAATCAGGGCTGGCACCCCGAGCCGGGCGGCGGGCTGCCCCTGCCGTGCGCGCACCGGCGCTACCCCGCGAGCAGTCCCCATCCCCCGCCGGATCGGCGGGAGGGGTAACCCGGCGGGGGCACACGCCTCGCAGCCCGGTGCTGCACCGGGGCCGCCGCCGGAGGCACCTCGCACCTCACCCCTCACCCGGGCAAACCCCGGCGCTCCGCTCCGCTCCGCCCGCCGCCGGCCCCGCTCCCGGGGGCGACCGGCACTGCAGCGGGGGGGCCGGCGGCGCCGCGGCCGGAGGGCAACAGGCGGGCGGGCGGTGTCAGGCGACAACTTCGCGCAGCGCCGACGAGCGAGTTGCGCTGCCGCGCAGGACGCGCCCGCCTCCGCACCCCGCCCGCGCGGCCGGCTGCGTGCCCGCGCTCGGCGGCAGCGAGTGAGCGGAGCGGAGCGGAGCGGAGCGCGTCCGAGCGCGGCGGCGAGCGGCACCTGCCGAGGGCAGCGGCGGCGCGGAGCGCTGGGCGGCGGCGAAGCCGGGCGGCGGCGGCGGGCGCGGAGCGGAGCGGGCTGGGCTCGGGCTGGGTCCGCGCCCGGCGCCGCCGCTGCGCCCTCCCGGCTGCGAGTCCGCCCGGCTCCGGATCACGTGGCGGTTGCCGGAGGCAGAGACTAGAGAGGAGAGAAAAAAAAAGCGCCTCATTCCTTCTTCCACCGCCATACTGTATTTTATAGTAACTCTCATTTTTATTCCTCCCTTTTACTCCCGCTCGGTGAGTACCTTTCCGCTGACATTCTTGTC